AAAACTCCACGTCTGCCTTAACTGTTTATCAGACTCACATGAAGTCAAAAATTGTAAAAGTATGTTTAATTGTAATAAATGTAAACAGAGGCATCACTCTATGATTCACCGGAATCAGAATGAAGAAATAGGTCAGATATTCGACAGCACAGACACTACTGAGATTTCTACTAAATCTCATATGGCCACTATTAAGGCCAATATTTCAAATGTGCCTACCAGTCGAAGCATGCTCTTAGGTACAGCCATGGTGACCATATGTCACAACAAGAGCACCTTCACTGTCAGAGCCCTGATTGATTCGGGATCTGAAGCCACCTTAAGCAATAGTCTGCAAAAACGCTTACATCTGGAAAGCAAAACGATCATCGCGCGAGGTTCAGGATTGAATAATACCGTATCAGGACGAGTTCAATCGGTATGCTCGATTACAATTGGCTCGCCCCGTAACAAAAGTTTAAGACTAGAAGCGGAAGCGTTGGTACTGCCAAAATTAACTGGACTGCTTCCATCCAAGTCAATTAACTCCTCAATTTTAAAAAGGTTACCTAATATCCCCTTAGCGGATAATAATTTCTATACGAGTCAAAAGGTTAACTTGTTGATTGGAGCGGATCTTTACCCGAAAATCATTCTAAATGGAGTAAGATCGAAAATCTTCGGATCACTTGTTGCACAACGTACAGTGTTCGGTTGGATCTTAACAGGTTCCGTTCCCTCCGAAGAAGCGAAAATAAATGGCAAAGGTGAGGCACGAAATTCAACAATAATGCMACAACAAACACCAAACCATTTTTGTAGTCAAAATTATACTAATTTCATATTTACACAAAGGCACAACAATCGTCCCATCAACAGACTATGCGGCAACAGCAGTTGAAAAGACATCAGCCACAATTATCACCACATCATCCAACAACGCCCCAACAACAAATGCATCAACCATATCAACAGCAGCACCAGCATCAGTTGCTAGGCGATCCGTTTGCTGCAATGTTAACGGCGACACGAGATGCACCAGCTAGTCTCCAATCTAGACTACAACAATAGATTTCACAATTGGAGTCACAGCCACCGCGGACATCAACGCCTACCCAGATCCTATCACAGACGCAGATAGCGATTCAGTCACAGTCGCAGACACAGCCGCAGCAACAGCCATTACTACAACAGCATCACCGAAAACAATGGCGGCAGTCAGCGCAGCGTGGAGCACAGCTGCCGATAACGCAACCGTCTATGTCTCCAGCGCACATTTCGTCACCCATGGCGTCCAGCCCAACGGTGTCAGCGCAACAACAACAACTTCAGCATCAACCGCTGCAAATCCAGCAACATCAGCTGCATCAGCCACCACAACAGCCCCCAACACCGACATCAACACCATCACATCATTTGGCTAACATTCTGAACGAAACAGCCACCTCGAAAGGCTCTTCTACATTGGCCGTGGTGCTAACAGCAGTAACAGTTCGACCAACAGGATTGTCTACAATCAGCCCACCTCAGTGCAAGATCGAGCCAGACTCGAGTCGTCTCGCCGACTTCGGAGTGCTGGTAACTTCCTTTCGGATTGGCGGCATGGCAACGATCGACTGAGACTCGATTCGTCTCAGCGACATTGTCCGGACCGAACGAGACTTGATTCGTCTCATCGGCCACCCCATCCGAGGCGAAGGCGTGGACGAGATGTTCGTCGTCAAGCAGGTGCACGACGTATTATCAAGGGGAGGGGGTAAACTCATCGCCCAAAACACGACACTGGGATATATAATATCCGGTGTCGTATAATATCGGTACCATAAAGTACACTGGCTGCCAACACCTCTCACATTTACCGCCTACCCAGGATCGAGTAAGACTCGAGTCGTCTCGCCGACCTCGGAAGGTGGTGACGTCTACGCAAATTGGCGACATGGCAATGACCGACTGAGATTCGATTCATCTCAGCGGCATTTCCCGGACCGAACTTGACTCGATTCGTCTCGTCGGCCACCCCATCTGCAAAGAAGACGTGGAAGAGGAAGTGCAGGAGCCAATTAGTTAAGTTAGTTTTAAGTAAATTATTGTAAACTGCATTTGCAGTAATACTGCAAGGCGGGGAGAATGTTGACGCCGCCCCCGCCCAATTTCTTTTGCCACATCTGTATCGGCAGATCAATCTTTTCTTTTCCTCTTATTCGAAGTTTTTTCGCAGTTTTAATTCGCGCGCAACTAAACCATAAGTAAAAAGTTGCGCACTCTCTCCTTTTGCGACCGCTAAGCGATACAGACGTAGTAAGTGTGTTTCCAATTTATTATATTTAAATATATTTAATATAAGAAACCTTTTGTTTTTTATTTAACATTTGTGGAATAACTTGCGCCGACCGTTTCCCCACGGCCAACCACGTCTACAGAACGAACGAGCACCGTGCTCCACCACCCGAATTATCAATCATTAAATATCCGGTTTTTTTCAAAAGCTCCATAATTTAGACATTTCAAGTTTTATATTTATGTTTTCCCGTATAGAAATAATGATAAATAAATTCGAAATAATAAAATAACTTGATTTCTTAAGGGGGTATTCTGGTTTAGAAATTCGAAAAAATCGATTTTTTTGTTTTGCATATTTTTATAGTATAACCCATCTAGAAAATATCCCGAAGAGGATTTTTCGAAATTAAAATTATTTTCGAGTTACAGTTCATTTTGTGACGCGCCGACCAAACTGTTTCGCTGCCGGATCGGAACTTTAAACTCGTTTTTCTCGTAACTACTTTTCTATAAACGGTGTGCATGACATCTCAAGTTCTACTTAACCGATTCACATGAAATTTAATACAGAGCTTTCTTATACAATATATACGATACTATATATCGCAATCGAAGAGCTTTCTAAAGTTTTTTTTAATTCCGAACCACAAAAAAACGGAAAATACGAAACTTTTTTTCAAACCACCATTTTGTAAAAATTTTTTTTCAAAAACGTTTCGTAGTGCGATAACTACACTTTTACTCTTCATGTATTTCGCATAAATTTTCATTTTAGGTCACGGAAAGTTTTTATATCCTGCACAACGGGACAAGCCATTGTTTCATCAGTCTCTACTTCGCCGACCTACAGTTTTTTTTAATTGAATTCTTTTCTTATATTATTTAGGTTTTGTATTCTTAGAATATCAATAAAAAGCATATAAGAAAATGGATAGTCAAAATAATTTCTGATTTTTTTATCACGTAAAAAAAAATTCCTGAAATTCGGGCTTCTAAACCAGAATACCCCCTTAACTTGCATTTCAAATCTGTGAGCGACTATCTTCTTGCTTTGTTTCTGATAACAAAACCGATAAAATTGGTTTCCGTGACACCCAAAACCGATACAAATTCTGTTTCGAATACCAAACCAATAATATCTGAATTCATGACAACTACTACCTTTTTTGATCGGTTTCAATTCTGATTCCAGCAACTATCAGATTCCACAACAAATTGAAATCCATGGAAATGGAATCTCCAAAACATCGATTTATCGTATTTTGACCGAACATTTTGCTTACGAAAGGTGTGTGCACGGTTTGTTCCGCTCAAATTGACTGACGACCAAAAATTGCTCAGAATCTAACATTCCAAGTTCCGATTATTTGACAAAAAATCACATTTCAACCTTTAACAACACCCGTAATCACCTGGGAAAGTGTTATGCAGACGCAGAGGCCATTCAAAAGGCTTGCATCGACATATACTGGCGGCTTCGTTTGACACGATTTTAAACCGTGCAAAAAGCTGCTGATTTTTCCGAAAAAATCATTTTTTTTTTTTAAGTCCTGTTTACTTTGGGTATCAAGGAGGTATTACTACACGTATGTCTATTAATTCAATTCGCCGCAATTTTAAACATACACATATGGTCAAAATAATAAGTAGTAGTATATTGCTTTAGGCTGCAGTCATGATTGAATTTTGAATGTTTGGTGAAGTATACGAATGCAACTACGGGTTTATTTTATTAAATTCGATATGGTAGTACCTTTTATAGTGAAAAGATAATGCTGAATCCCCTCTTTGAAGTGGGCGTAGCAACTGATTGTTGGGCACGATTCCGATTACTTTGGCGGAGGGGTAAAAAACCCGAATTTCCGTGGAAATGGGGTATCTACGGATAGGGAAGCTTCTCCAGAGGAGAATATCCAAAAATAATATAAAAATAACTAACATTTTTCAAAATATTCACGTTTAAAAATTCAAAAATTCCCACAAAGAACACATGTCATTTCTCCATGTTTCATTAAATTTTTTCACGTTTTTTTGTATGTATATTTAMATATATACTCTAAGCATTCAAATAAGCTCACATTTTACATTTATTTTGTAACTTTTCAGCTAAATTTAGTAATTTAAAAATCACCCTTCAAATTTATAGCTGAAAAGTTTAGAGTGTTAATATTTACGAGGAAAACCAGCTTTGCCACCCCATCAAAACCAAAAGTGAAGGGTTTTTCAGCGTTTCACATCGTTTTCTTTGTTTGTACTTTCGAGTACTTCTTTTTTCTTGATTAACTATAAAGAAGATTTTTCAAGCTAAAATTGAATATGTGAACACTTTTCCATATACATACATATGTATATGAATAATATGTGATTTATATTTAATAAACACAGATAAGTAAAATCGTGTGATAATATTATAT